TTCCTTCTTCAGGGCCCCGACTGTACTCGCTCCCAGAGCAAAAGGACGCTCCAGGAACAAAAGCAGTGCTCTCAGGCCAGAAGAAGCCGACGTGCTGACACGAGGCGGCCTCGGCCAGAAATGCCCCCCCAAACACCCCGTGCAAGTCGCACAAGGATATTACGGTGTGGGCATTGAACAAGGAACCCTTCGATGAGGAATCCAGGGTCTGGAAGCAGGTGGAACTCCAGTCGTGAATCGGCCATGGATATCACCGCCACCCTCATTGGGTAATGAATCCTCCAGGGTATGCGGCTCCCTGAGCAGTCCTTACCAGGCGCCCCCACCGTCTTGAGATGCACTATTTGGTAGGCCTATATAGAAGCTTCCTAGGAGGGTCCGAGTAGATGGGGTCGGAGGATCGCGCCGACGTCGCCGATGCATCGCCGATGTATCGCCGACGCATCGGCGCCGTCGGCGATGCATCGGCGCCGTCGGCGTGGATAGAATCGAGCTCCACACCGAGCCGCATCGCCGATGCACTGGCGATGCGGCGCCATTCTCCGACCCCCATCCACTCGGACCCCGTCTGGGAGGCCCAGACCATGCAGCCGGCCCGTCTCACAAGGACGCGCGACGGGAATGCAAGGGCCTTGGACGCCCACTTCGGAGCGGGGCGCGGACAACGAAAGTGGCCAAGGATGGGCCGAGGAGGCAGGGATGCAGGGGTACCCTCGGGAAGGTTGCCCATCCTTACTATGCGGGTTGACTCTACAGGCCCATCAAGAACGTCGCACATCCCAACCGGACCGAGCACGACCAGCAAGCAGCGCGCCGGTGAGCCGTCCTTACTGTGCGGGTTGACTGCAGGCAAGCCGAGACGCCTCGCCACTGCTCGACGCAGGGCAGACAGGCAAGCAGAGGACCGCGTGCAGCCCTCGTGCACGCGCCGAGGCTGGGCGCAGGGGGAGGGAAGAGGAGAAGGAGGAGGAGGAGGAGGAGGAAGAGGGGGAGGAGGAGGAAGAGGAGGAGGAGGAGGAGGAGGAGGAGGAGGAGGAGGAGGAGGAGGAGGAGGAGGAGGAGGAGGAGAAAGGAGGAGAAGGAGGCGAAGGAGGAGAAGGAGGAGGTTGAACGCTGCAGTTGCTCAGCTCAAGACCGAGCAACGTAAAAAACAAAGGAGAAGAAGAAAGAGGAGGAGGAGGAGCAGGAGGAGGAAGAGAAGGAGGAGGAGGGGGGGGATGAGGAGGAGGAGGAGGAGGCGGAGGAAGGACGAGGAGGGGAGGAGGAGGAGGAGGAGGCGAAGGAGGGAGGAGGAGGAGGAAGAGGAGGAGGAGGAGGAGGAGGAAGAGGAGATTGAACGTTACAGCTGCTCAGCTCAAGTCCGAGCAACGAAAAAAAGGATGAGGATGACGATGAGGATGAGGATGAGGATGAGGATAATGAGGATGATGATGATGATGATGATGATGGTGATGATGATGATGATGATGATGATGCTGATGCTGATGATGATGATGATGATGATGATGATGATGATGATGATGAATGATGATGGTGATGATGATGATGATGATGATGATGAGGGGAGGAGGAGGAGAGGAGGAGGAGGAGGAGGAGATGGGAGGAGGAGGGGAAGAGAGGGGGAGGAGGAGGAGGGGGAGGAGGGGAGGAGATGGGGGAGAGGAGAGGTGGAGAGGAGGAGGAAGCGGGGGAGGATGGGGGGGAAGGGGGAGGAGGAGGAGGGTTGTTTTTTTTTTTTTTTGAGAGGAGGGAGTAGGAGGAGGAAGAGGAGGAGGAGGAGGAGGAGGGAGGAGGAGCAGGAGGAGAAGGAGGAGGAAGCGAGAAGGAGGAGGGAGGAGGAGAGAGGAGGAGGAGGAGGAGGAGGAGGCGAAGGATGCGGAAGAGCAGGGGGTTGAACGCTACAACTTTAGCTGCTCAAGTCCGAGCAACGGAATAAAGGAGGCGGAGGAAGAGGATGATGAAGATGATGATGATGATGATGATGATGATGATGATGATGATGATGATGATGATGATGATGAGATGATGATGATGATCATGATGGATGCTGGATGATGATGATGATGATGATGATTGAGATGATGATGATGATGATGATGAGAGATGATGATTGATGAGGATGAGGAGGAGAGGAGGAGGATGAGGAGGAGGAGGAGGGAGGAGTAGGGGGAGGAAGGAGGAGGACGGAGGAGGAGGAGAAGAGGAGGAAGAGGGCAGGATTTTTTTTTTTTTGAGAAAGGATGGGGGGGGACGGAGGAGGAGAAGGTGGAGGAGGAGAAAGGAGGGGAGGAGATGGAGGGGAGGGGGAGGAGGTTGAACTCTACAGCTGCTCAGCAGCTCAAGTCCGATCAATTGAACTCTACAGCTGCTCAGCAGCTCAAGTCCGATCAACGCAAAAAAGGAGGGGGAGGCGAAGGAGGAGGGGGATGATATTGAAAGCTACAGCTGCTCAGCAGCTCAAGTCCGATTAATGTAAAAAAAGAGGAGAGGAAGGAGGGGGAGGAGGAGGAGGAGGAGGAGGAGGAGGAGGAGGAGGAGGAGGAGGAGGAGGAGGAGGAGGGGAGGAGAGGAGGAGGAGGAGGGAGGAGGAGGAGGCGGAGGAGGACGACGATGATGATGATGAAGAGCCCCAGAAGCAGGAAGAGGAGGAGGAGAGGAGGAGGAGCCCCAGAAGGAGGCGCCGCCGCGGCCCGGGGCCGCCGGGCAGGGCGCCGCCGCCCTCGCCACCGCAGCAGACCCTGAGGCATCCGACGTCGCCGGGCGGCAGGACCGGGAGGGGGCGGGCGGAAGAGGGCGGGAGGAGGAGGAGGAGGAGGAGGAGGAGGAGGAGGCGAAGGATGCGGAAGAGCAGGAGGTTGAACGCTGCAGTTGCTCAGCTCAAGACCGAGCAACGAAAAAAAACAGAGGAGAAGGAGGAAGAGGAGGAGGAGGAGGAGGAGGAGGAGGAGGAGCAGGAGGAGGAAGAGAAGGAGGAGGAGGGGGGGGATGAGGATGAGGAGGATGAGGAGGAGGAGGAGGAGGCGGAGGAGGGAGGAGGAGGAGGAGGCGAAGGAAGAGGAGAAGGAGGAGGAGGAGGAGGAGGACGAGGAGGGGTAGGGGTAGGCATAGGAGGATGAGGAGGAGGAGGAGGAGGAGGAGGACGAGGAGGGGTAGGGGTAGGCATAGGAGGATGAGGAGGAGGAGGAGGAGGAGGAGAGGAGGAGGAGGAGGAGAGGAGGAGGAGGAGGAGGAGGAGGGGGGGGGCGGACCCGGCAGGACCGGGAGGGGGGGGGGTGAAGAGGGCGGGAGGAACAGGGGGGAACGCGAGGAGGGTGGGAAAGATCGGGGGCGCGCAAACATTAGGGACAAGGAAAGGCGACACCAACACCACCAGGGCGAGGAGGTGTGAGGAGGCGAGGGGGGTCTCCCTGGTGGTGTGGTCCCCCCCTCTCGCTCGAGACATCCCCAGCCTTCAGCTCGGGGAGAAATAGTGGACCTCCTCGCTTAGATGGGCCCCCTGGTGGTGTTGGTGTCGCTTCTCCTCCCTCCGAACGGGGGGGGGACAGCGAGGAGGGTGGGAAAGATCGGGGGCGCGCAAACATGGATTCGCGATCCATGGACTTGGCGCGCGGTCGCCACATCCATGGATCGGGGGAGATGCCCTCCCCAAAGTGCGGCCGGTGCCGCCTGGTTCGGCGGCGAGACTCCGCGATTTCCCATGGAAACGGGACCCGTCGCCAATCCACGCCCCCTTGATCCATGTTTGCGATCGCCTGATAAGAGAAGGCATGGCCAGGAAGACGACGAAGGGGGGTAGGACCCTGAGAGCCGACGTGACAACCAAAAGCTGCACCACACTGCGTACAATCACGACCAGACCCCTGGACCCCAACTTCCTGCAACATTTTCCAGAGCCTGATCGATCCGTGAGGGTCCCGGGGCCTGAGACGAGGCAATCTCTGGGCACGTCGTTTGTCGTCGTCGTCGTCGTCGTCATCGTCGTAGTCGTCGTCGTCATCGTCGTCGTCGTCGCCCTCTCGCCGTCCGTGCCACCGGCGTCGTCGTCGCCGCCGTCGGGGGAGGCAGTGAGGGGCAGCGACGTCTGGGGGAAGCCGCTCCGGGAGGCGAGCTGCCGCAGGAGTCGGCGGTGCACCGCCGATGGATCGGCGGCAGGCCCCCCCCCCGTCGAGAGCCCGCTCGATTCTGGGCGTGGGCGGGCCGCCGGGCCCCATCGACCACGAGAGGGGGCGATCGGGGAGCCGTGCGTCCCCGCCGTTGGGCCTCTGCCCCCCCCGGGTTGTGTGCTGGCCGTCCCCCTCGGAGGCTACGCGCCCCTGAGCCCATGTCCCCCTGAGCCTGCCTCTGCTGAAGGGAAACTGGGACACACAAATAAATACACAAAAAAAAGATTCCCCATATTTTCCTATATTTTCTGGGTTTTTGTCTTCCCCCCCACTTCCCATATTTCCCCCATATTTTCCTGGAAATCGACAAATAATTGTGTCTGTGTGTTTTTCTCCCTCCTGATCTGCCCTTGAGCCGATCCCCCTCCTGAGCTCGAGCAGGGGATCGACTGCAGAATCGATGTACCCCAAAATGGATTCTCCATCGAATCTGCGACGAAGACCTCGAATGTGCAGCAGTCTACTGCCTGTGCCCTTGAGCCGATCCCCCTCCTGAGCCTGCGGCCCCTGAGCCTACAGTGGGGGCGCGTGGCAAGAAACCAGTTGGATTTTGCCAGGGTGCCCTGGGTTTCTTGGAGTTCGATGGGTCCCCAATAAGACCTGGATGATTTTCGATTGGCAAATCTGGGTTTTCATTAAACAGGTCGCGGATTTCAGGGTTGGCTTTCTTGCGGAGGTTGCTTGTGGCCGAGGCCCCACTGTATCTCCCCCTGAGCCTATCCCCGCCTGTGTGTTGCCCCTGACCTTCCGCCCCTCTGTTCGTTGGCCATACTGACTCGGGCCACGACTGCTGCTGCTGCTGTTGCTGCTGTCGCTTCGTCGCGATTTCCACTGTATTTACCCTGATCCCCTCTCGCCCCATTCCCGCGACCACGGCTCTCTGCTGCACTCTCCAGAGGCAAAGCATTATTGCCTGTCCTCCGAAAATCAAGACTCCCAGATCTCAGGGGGCGTCGTCGTCGTCGTCCTCGTCGTCCTCCTCGTCGTCCTCGTCGTCATCGTTGTCGTCGTCGTCCTCGTCGTCGTCCTGGTCGTCATCGTCGTCGTCGTTATCGTCGTCCTGGTCGTCATCGTCGTCGTCGTTATCGTCGTCGTCGTCATCGTCGTCGTAATCGTCGTCGTCGTCGTCGTCGTCGTAGTCGTCGTCGTCGTCGTCGTCGTCGTCGTCGTCCTCCTCGTCGTCGTCCTGGTCGTCATCGTCGTCGTCGTCGTCATCGTCGTCGTCGTTATCGTCGTCGTCGTCATCGTCGTCGTCACCGTCGTCGTCGTCGTCGTCCTCATCGTCGCGCCCCTGACCTTCCTGACCTTCCGCCCCTGTATTTCTTGGCCATGGCTCGGGCCTCCGGCAGCCATGCGGGACGATCCGGGCACCCCCGGAACGCCCTCGGCGAGGCACAGCCGCTGGAGCGCCTCCCGAGGCTGGGCAGCAGCCGAGAACCTACAAAAACGCCCGAGGTCGAACCTCGAACCTCGGAAATTCGTTGCCCAGGAGCCTATCCCCCACCCCGCTAATTGGAGGCCTCCTAGATGGGGTCCGAGTAGATTGGGTCGGAGGATCGCGCCGCATCGCCGATGCATCACCAATGCATCGGCGATGCAGTGGCGAGTATCGGCGACGTCAGCGCGGCGACGCCAGCGCGGAGCAAAAGCAGGCTCCACATCGGAGGCCTAGGCTAACGCTGCCCCTGAGGCAAGGGTTGGCGATTCCGAAGGATCTGGTATGCAACGGGTTTGATTTGCAGACGGCACCCTGGGGGGCACCCCGGGTGGCGGGCGAGGACCTCGACAGAGCTCTCCGCCGCGCCCCCAGGAGGCCTGACGAGGACAGCGTCGTGCTCCGCAGGCCCCAACGGTGCCGATCGCAAAACACACCCTCGCGTAACTGACTACCTACCAGACCACCCCAACCCAACCCGAAGACCCGACCTTGACCCGAATTTCGGGCTGGGGGGGGTACGGGTTCCATCTGCTTTTTCAATGTTCCCCGACCCCCCCCCCCACTGGAAATGGAAGGCAAATGGGGGCCTTCGTGTTGGGTTGGGGTGGTTTGGTGGGTGGTGAGTAACCATACAATTCGTAGCCGCCAGAAGGCGTGGTGGTCTCTGCACACCCAGACCCCCGACGTAATGAATTTTTCATTACGTCGACCCCCAGAGGTCCTGACACTTCCCCCATGACCGGCTTTGCATCCTGAGTCGTTTTTTGACGCTCCCGAGGCCCGGTGAGGGTCCCCCGAGGCCGAAAATTAGGAAAAACCTCCCGTCGTGTTTTTTTCATTACTCGAGGGGGTCTGGGCAAGGGAAACAAGGTCCGAGCAGAGCAGCACGCACCACGACCGCGACGACCCCGAAATCCGACCACGGACACGAGGCGCGCAGACCGATCCGCATCGACACACGGATCCCAGGCCCCCGACATCACGATTTTTAGCATGACGTCGACCCCGAATCGAAGTCTCGGCCCTTTTCCCCGGGGCCGGTCTTTCATCCTGAATCGTTTTTTTGTTTTTCCCCCAACCCTGCTTGGTTGGGTATTCGTTTTGAACAGAGCACGGCGGTCTCCAGTCCTTCTCCTCCTTCTCCTCCTCCTGCCTCCCGCCGCCTCCTCCCGCCTCCTCCTCCCGCCTCCCTCCTCCTGCCTCGCGTCTCCCTCTCCTCTTGCCTTGTGCGGACCTGGCCGTCCCTGGGGGGCTGCGATCTGCGACACTGTCGCCACTTTCGAGGGCTGATGGTGGGTCCTGCGGAGTGAGGCACCGCGGGGATCTGAGCGGGACCTCGCCGTCCCAAGGGGCAGCGATCTGCGACACTGTCGCCACTTTCGAGGGCTGCTTGTTGGTCCTGCGGAGTGAAGCACCGCGGGGATCTGAGCGGGACCTCGCCGTCCCTGGGAGCTGCGATCTGCGACACGGTCGCCACTTTCGTGGGCTGCTGGTGGGTTCTGCGGAGTGAGGCACCGCGGGGATCTGAGCGGGACCTAGCCGTCCCTGGGGGGCTGCGATCTGCGACACTGTCGCCACTTTCGAGGGCTGCTGGTGGGTCCTGCGGAGTGAGGCACCGCGGGGATCTGAGCGGGGCCTCGCCGTCCCTGGGGGGCTGCGATCTGCGACACTGTCGCCACTTTCGAGGGCTGCTGTTGTGGGTCCTGCGGAGTGAGGCACCGCGGGGATCCGAGCGAGACCTCGCCGTCCCTGGGGGGCTCTCAAGAGCTGCTGTGGGATACATTGGGTGCAACGGGCGCATGGCACAGCCGACGGGGGTGACTTGTTATTACGTAGCCTTTAGATCTTGATCGGGGGCCTGCGAGCCTTCCGATTGCTGCTCGCAAAATCACACGCGTCCATGTTCCGCCATCGCCCCCGTGGTAGCAATCCTGATGTACTTATGCCCCGCATTGCGCAAGGGTTGGGTACGTCGCCAGGGTAATTGACGGTCCCGCCCCCCGAGGCCGAACATAGCCACAAACCTGCCGTCGTTATGTTTGCATGGCTCGCGGGGTCTGGGATCATCGGCGGCGAGCGGGAGGAGTGAGAAGGAGAGGGCCCTGCCAAGGGCGGCAGGACCTCACACCTCGCGTCCTCTGGGAAGTCTTCCGTGCTCGGGCGGAAGGCAGAAAGGGAACTTCTCAGAAGGCCCGGGGACTGACTTCCGAGCCTTCTGAGAAGGCCCGCCCCTTCTCGTTCCCCACCCTCGCTCGTCGCCGACCCTCGAACGCGCAGAGTAGAGGAACAGAGAAAGGGCATACTCATAAACTGGTGGAGGTCCGCGCGGGCTTCGCGGATCTGGGCTGAGCCCCCCTCCCCTGGCGCGCGGAGCGCGCCATGGGCGGCGCAGGAGGCGCCGTCGAGGGGGGCCAGCGCAGATCCAAGAAATCCGCGCGGACTTCCCAAAGTTTATGCGTGTGCCCCCTCTTTTCTTCGACCAGGAGGCCCGAACACCACCGCCAGTGCCGACCACTTCCCCCCCGAGGCTCGCCGCCGAGACTAGGGAAAGGGCCCGCCCGAGAGGGCGGCGGGGGGGAGGCCGGGGCCTCACCGCGGAGAAGGCCTGTGCGGCGAGCGGGCGCATCTTGTCCTCGCGGGGCGCCGCCGCACAGGAGGGGGGGCCGCCGGGCCCTCTTCGGGGGGCTGCTGCTCCTGGCCATCGCGCATCCTCGTCCTCCATGTGTGAGTTTCTTTTCGTCTGGGCGCGTGTGCGACGACGACGGCGACGGCGGGGACGACGACGACGACGACGAGGACGACGAGGACGACGAGGACGACGGGGACGACCACGGTGACGACGAGGACGACGACAACGACGACGACGACGAGGACGACGAGGACGACGACGACGACGGCGGCGACGACGACGACGAGGACGAGGACGACGACGACGGCGACGAGAGCGACGAGGACGAGGACGAGGACGACGAAAACGATAACAAGGACGACGACGAAGACGATGGGAACAACCACGGTGACGACGAGGACGACGACAACGACGACAACGACGACGACGAGGACGACGAGGGAGACGACGACGACGACGGCGACGACGACGAGGACGACGACGGCGAAGAGGACGACGAGGACGACGACGAGGACGACGACGACGAGGACTACGGCGACGACGACGACGGGCACAACCACGGTGACGACGAGGACGACGACAACGACAACAACGACGACGAGGACGACGACGACGACGACGACGACGGCGACGGCGACGACGACGAGGACGACGACGACGACGACGATGGCGACGACTACGACGACGACGACGAGGACGACGACGGCGACGACGACGACGAGCAGGACGGCGACGGCGACGACGACGCCAACGACGTCGACGATGACGGCCACGACGACGACGACAACGCCAACGAGGACGACGACAGCGAGGGCGAGGACGGCGACGACGGCGACGAGGGCGACGACGACGACGACGACGAGGACGACGACGAGGGCGACGACGACGACGACCACGACGACGGCGATCGCGACGACAATGACGCCGCAACCGCCGACGACGAAGACGACCACGACGACGACGGTGACGACGACGAAGACGACAGCAAAGACGACAGCAAGATGAACGACAATGCTGATAGTGACGACGACGCCGACGACGTCGAAGACGACGGCGACAGCCACGACGAGGACGATGACGATGACGACTATGAGGACAACGACGACGACGAGGACGACTACGACGACGACCCGACGACGACGACGAGAACGACGACGACGACGACGATGTCGACGACCAGGGCGACGACGACGACAACGACGGCGACAAGAACGACGACGACGAGGAGAACGCCGACGACGACTACGCCGACGACGGGGACGACGACGACGACGACAACGACAACGAGGACGACGATGACAGGAAGGACGAAGCAGACGAGGACGACGAGGACGGCAACGGCGACGACGACGAAGACGACAGCGAAGACGACGGGACGACGACTACGACGACGACGACAACGACGACGACGACGACGACGACGAGAACGACAGCGGCGACGACGATTACGACGACAACGACGCCGACGACGTCGACGACGAAGGCGACGACGACGAGGACGACGACGACGACGAGGACTACGTCGGCGACGACGACGGCGACAACGACGAGGACGACGAGGACGATGCCGACGGCGAGAACGTCGACGACGACGAGGGCGACGACCGCGACGACAACGACGACGACCAGGAAGACGCCGAGGACAACGACGACTTGCCGACGACGACGACGACAACGACGAGGACGAGGACGGCGACAACGACGACGGCGAAGAAGTGGACAACGACGACGACGACGACGACAAGGACAACGAGCACAACGACGACGACGACGACGGCGACGACAACGACGAGAACGACGACGATGACGACGACTACGACGACGACATCAAAAACAACGACGCCGACGACAACGACGATGAACACAACGTTGAGGACGACTACGACAACGACGACGAGAACGACGACGAGGACAACGCCGACGAGAGCGATGCCGATGATGAGGTCGACGACGACGACGGCAACGATAACGACGGGAACGACTACGACGACGACGACGAGGACGACGACGGCGACGACGACTACGACGACGACGACAACTACAACAACGGCTACGACCACTGCGACGACGACAACGATGACGACGACGAGGAGAACGACGACATCGACGAAGTCAACGACAACGACCACGACGACGACGACGGACGACGACGACGACGGCGACGACTACAACGACGACGAAGACGCCGACGACGAAGACGACGACGAGGAGGACACCTACGACGAGGACGACGACGACGCGGACTACGACGACGACGACGACTACGACGACGACGCTGACGAGGACAACGACGACGACGACGACGACGACGACGACGACCACGAGGGCGACGACGACGACGCCGACGATGAGAACGACGACTACGACGACAACGACGACGATTCGACAACGTCAAGGACGACGACGACGACTACGACGATTTCGACGTCATAAACGACGACTACGACGACGACGACTACGACGACAGAGACGCTGACGACGACACGACGAGGAGGAGGACGACGACGACGAGAACGACTACGATGACGACGTTAACGCCTCCGAAGACGACGACGACTACGACGACGTCGCCGACGACGACAACGAAGACGACGACGACGAGGAGAACGACGACGACGACGACGACAGCAACGATGACGACGACAACGATGACGACGACGAGGACGACGCAGACGACGACTACGCCGACGACCAGGACGAGGACGACGACGACGATGGCGAGGACCACAAGGAGGACGACGACGCTGACAATGACGACGACGACGAAGACGACTACGACGACGACGAAGACGAGGAGGAGGAGGAGGACGACGACAACGACGACGACCACGACGACGACGCCGCCGAAAACGACTACGACGCCCACGACGACGACGACGACGCTGACGACCACGACGTCGTATGACGACGACGATGACGACGACTACGAAGGTGACGGCGACGACGACGACTACGACGGCGCCGGCGACGACGACGACCACGACGGCGACGCCGCCCCCTGAAGTCTAGGCGTCACAATTTTCGGGTAACAGGCGATCTTGCCTTGTTTCGGGCTCCGGGGCCCTCACGGATCGATCGGGCTCGGGAAGATGCCGCAGAAAGCTGTGGTCTGGGGCTCTGTTTGTGAATCTTCGCGGTGTTGTAATTTTTTGCGACATCGTATCTCAGAGTCCTACCCCCTTTCGTCGTCTTCCTGCCAATGCCTCGTCCGTCACACCCTCATTATCTTCCCCCCCTTCCTCCATCCCCTTCCCCCCCACCTATCCCTATCCTCTCCCCGTCCTTGGCATCTCCCCCCTCGTCCTCCATCCTCTTCCCCCCGCCCATCCCCAGCCTCCCATTCCTCCGTATCCTCTCGGCTCCCGCTCATCCGGCCTCCTGCATCCTGCCTCCTGCCAGATGCCTGCTGGACTGGCGGGGGTATGTGGAGCGCATGTGGAGCGCACAACGGGCGGTGAACGTCGGGGGAGCGGCGTCCCCAGACCCCCGACGTAATGATTTTTTCATTACGTCGACCCCCAGGGGTCCCGACCCTTTCCCCATGACCGGCTTTGCATCCTGAGTCGTTTTTTGACGCTCCCGAGGCCCGGTGAGGGCCCCCGGAGGCCGAAAATTAGGAAAAACCTCCCGTCATGATTTTTTCATTACTCGAGGGGGTCTGGGTCTGACGCATCGATGTGCGATGTGTTCAGAATGCAGCAAGTCTTCGCCCCTGGGCCACCGTGGAGCCCCCAAATCGCCAATTTGCAGCGTGCTGGCAGGAATGTCTCCTGACCCTCTCGGGAACCCTCGTGGGGAGCCCTCGGGGGCCCAACAGAGCTGGCGTGACCACGTGATGGCCCCGTGGTGTTGGCCGTGACCGGAGCTCCAATACCTAGCCCTTGTGACGCGAACAAAACGGACGGCGCCAAATCCAGATCGGCGGATATGCTCAACCCAAAAAGCCCTGAATCCTAACATGTTGACGTCTCGATTTTATCAACTACGCGCAAGAGCGGCCCTGGGTAAGAGTGACCTTTGGAGCGCGGTTGGCTTCCTGGGGGCCATGGGGGACCAAACCGGGACCGAACACAGGCGCGCAAGACGCTACTATCGCATCGCGTTCGGCGATAAAAGGACCCTAACCCAGACCCCCGACGTCATGATTTGAGCATAACGTCGACCCCCGTCAGGTCTCCCCGGGAACTTGGGAAGGGGCCCGCTTACGTCCAGTCGATCCTCCGAGCTCCCGCCCATTTTCGCCGGCGCTCTGCTTGCCGCCGCCTTCCCCCGCCCCTTGGCCCGCCGAACAGCGCTCTGCCCGGCGAAGGCGAGGCCCTCCCCAGAAAGCCCCCTCGTGGTGAAGCATCGGCGCGCCTCCTGGGCGGCCCTGGTAGGGGGCCACATGCGAACCCTACCCCTACCCCCCACGATTTCTGAGGGGGAGGGTGGGGTTCACTTCGCTCGGGAGCTCCCGAACGAAGTGAACCCCACCGGAGCTCCCCCTCAGAAATCGTGGGGGTAGGAGTAGGGTTCGCATGTGGCCCCCTACCTGGGGGCCTCGGGGGCGGCGCCTGTTGTACAGTCGGACTTGATCACAGACCCCCTCGCGTCGTGAAAAAATCACGACGGGAGGTTTCTCGCTATGTTCGGCCTCTGGGTGCCTCGCCGGGCCTCGGAACCATGATAAAACCACTCAGGATAAAAAAAACGGTCCCAGGGAAGGGGTCCAGACCTCTGGGGGCCGAGGTTTCAAAACATGATCGACCCACGAACCCGGAAAGGAATCTAGAAATGTAAAGCATGGCAGCGTTTTCAAAGACACCTGATTGGGCGACGGGAGAATGCAATGCTGAGTGCATCGATCTTGATGTACCGTGCCGAGGGCTGTGCTGTGCTGCGCTGTGCTGATGTGCCATGCCGCGATTGTGCTCTATAGCGGTGTGGATCGAGTCCTCCTCTGCATCCGAGTCCTGACCGAACCGATCTTGGCCTTAAGCTCGAGCACATAGTAGCTGCCCCAG